AGATGTATTGCTTTTTCAAACATGTTTTTTCCTTCTCGTGTTTAAGAAAAAAATTAAGAAAAATTCTGGCTTCAACTGAATATTAATTTTGTAAAATCCTCTGTAATGTATATATTTGAATCCAACATTTTTTTTTTAGCTTTTTTGCAGGTCCACTAAAGCATGATAAAATATCCCTTTATGTTGTGTACTTTTTCAACATCCATTGGAAATCCCTTTATACTTTCTAAATAGTTCCTGACATCATGTACCAATGATACATCATTTAAGAATTTTCTTTAAGGTCATAACATAGTGCAAATTTCAACCCCCTTTATCACATATTATTCCATTAATCCAAAATATTTGACCCAATTTAATAATTTAACTTCATGCTAATATGACTTGGGGTTTGAGGGCTATAGTAAAGAGATACAGCATTGGCTTTTCAAAATAATATTGTACTTTGTTATGGTCTGTAGGATGCTGAAATAAACTCACTGGGTGATTGATATGGGGAGAACCTGCATATTTTTGACAGGGATTTCTGCTGAAGTAAACTGAAGGAGGAGTGGAAATTGCTCAAAAGGAAGAATAAGGCATCTACAAATGTTATGTCTCGATATTAACCTATTTAGGTTTTAAACTTGTGTGTTTGTGTGTGTGCCTATATGGTGATAATCATAGAACTGTCCTGGATGCAGGTATATGCAAACACCTGTCCACACAAGAAGCACATGAGCCATAGCCAGTTTCAAACTGGATTTTTGTCAAGGGGAAAAGGGATGCCTTTTCAGAGGACAATCAATAGCCAAAATCAACACTTCTGTAGTTTACACTTTGAGCAGCTATTGATTAATACTTCAATACTTCACCAAACCTCTGTATCCTTTATAGCAGGGGTCTCCAACCTTGGCAACTTTAAGACTTTTGGACTTCAACTCCCAGAATTCCTCAGCCAGCAAAGCAAAGCCGACTGAGGAATTCTGGGAATTGAAGTCCAAAAGTCTTAAAGTTGCCTAAGTTGGAGATCCCTGCTCTATAGCAGAGGTGGGCAACTATGGCCCCTTTATGATTTGTGGACTTCAACTCCCAGAATTTAAAAATAGACTCTATAAAAATGGACTTAATAGGAGCCCTCATGAAGAGTAATAATGTCTTGCAATATTTTTTTTCACAGTGGGAAAGTACAATGGGGAGCATTATGGCCTTACAGGAAATTTATTTATTTATTTATTTATTTATTTGATTTGATTTGCCAATTGTTTACAAGATAATAAGTATAAGTGTATACATAGTTGTGAATACATGAAATGGGTACATATAAGAAAAATAAAAGAAGAATAAGAGAAACAATAGGACAGGGACGGTAGGCACGTTGGTGCGCTTATGCACGCCCCCTACAGACCTCTTAGGAAAGGGGTGAGGTCAATAGTAGACAGTCTAAGGTTAAAGTTTTTGGGGTTTGGGGAAGAAACTACAGAGTCGGGTAGAATATTCCAGACATTGACCACTCTATTGCTGAAGTCGTATTTCCTGCAATCAAGTTTGGTGCGGTTAACTTTGAGTTTGTATCTATTGTGTGCTCTTGTGTTGTTATGGTTGAAGCTGAAGTATTCATTGACAGGTAGGACATTGCAATGTATGATTTTATATACCATGCTTAAATCAGACCAAAGACGGCGTAATTCAAGATTTTCTAGGTCTAGAATTTCAAGTCTGGTGGCATAAGGTATTCTACAACGAGTAGAGGAGTGGAGAACTCTTCTTGTGAAATATTTCTGGACTTTCTCAATTGTGCTAATATCAGATACGTAATGTGGGTTCCAGACTGATGAACTGTATTCGAGTATTGGTCTAGCAAATGTTTTGTATGCTCTGGTTAGTAGTGTGATATTACCAGAGAAAAAGCTACGTAGGATTAGGTTTACAACTCTTAATGCCTTTTTGGCTATGTAGTTGCAGTGGGCTCTAGCACTTAGATCATTAGAGGTGAGTATTCCAAGGTCCTTTACAGAGCTTGGGTCATCAACAAGATCTTGACTATTCAGCTTGTATTTTATTTTCTGATTTTTTTTGCCAATATGTAAGACAGAGCATTTATTTGTTGAGATTTGAAGTTGCCATTTGTTTGACCATTCTGATACATAGTCAAGATCTTTTTGTAGGGTAGCAGTATTGTCTGTGGTATTGAACAGCTTTACATCATCAGCGAAAAGAACGCAATTGCTCTTAATATGATCACAGAGGTCATTTATGTAGAGTATGAAGAGAGTTGGTCCAAGAACACTGCCTTGGGGGACACCACTATTGACAGGTACAGAATTTGATAGGACGCTCCCAATTTTGACCATTTGTTGTCTGTTTGCCAGGAATGCTTCTATCCAGTTATTCAGTTGTCCAGAGATACCATAGGATTTTATTTTTAGGAGTAGTTTGTCGTGTACCACTGAATCAAAGGCTTTACAGAAGTCTATGTAGATTGCGTCTATTGCTTTGCCCTGGTCGAGTTGTGTCGTCCATATGTTTTTGCAGTGTAAGAGTTGCAGATTACAGGATAGTTTTTTTCTGAAACCAAATTGTTTATTAGAGAGTAGGTTGTTTGTCTCTAAGTGGAGGATGATGGATTGGTTAATAATTGATTCCATGACTTTACAGGTGACGCAGCATAAGGAGATTGGTCTGTAATTTTCAACTAGGTTTGGGTCTCCCTTTTTGAAGATGGGGATGACTGTGGCTTGTGACCATAGGTTAGGCAAGGAGCTGGTCCTGAAAGATTTTTCAAAGATTATGCTTAGAGGTTTGGCTATGGCAGTGGATAGCTTTTTTAAGAAGTAGGCACATATTCCATCCGGTCCAATAGATAGAGATGGTTTTAGATTGCGTAGTGCTTTTTCAACATTGTCTTCTGTAAAATCGATATGTATTAGATCATTGTTGTTATCTGTGGTACGGCTAGGAAATACTGGGCATGATCCATTGCTGTTTACAAATACTGAGCCGAAGTATGTGTTAAAGATGTTGGCTTTAATGGTGTCGTCGTTGCAGTCTTTACCATCAGGTCCTATCAAGGGTGGGATGGACCTTGAGTTTTTTAGTTTGTTGTTTACAAAATTGTAAAAAGCACGGGTGGAATTGGTGCTTAGAAGGTTTTCCTCTTGTTTAATGTGATAATTGGTGCATTCGGTCTTTATCTGGTGGCATAAATTTTTGTATCGGCTTTTGAAATTGGCAACGTGACCAGATTTGTTTTTCCGCCAGAGTGATCTCTTTTTGGATTGAAGTTTTCTTATTGTTATGGGTAATCTGCTTTTTTGTTTTGTTTTGGGAGTTGTTGTTGGTACATATAGTTTGATGACTCTTTTGACTTCAAGTAAAAATATGTTGTAATGGTCTTCAACAGTATTGCATCCAGTGAATAGAGATTGCCAATCAAGGGATGAGAGATCGTTGTCTATAAGATCATAGTTGCCTTTTTTGAAGTTACAATTGGGGATTACATCATTGTGGTGATTTTTGTGTGGGCGTATGTTGAGACAAAAGTCAATCATATTGTGGTCACTGCTGGAAAAGGGTTCTTTAGTTTGTATTCCGTAAATTAAATTCAAACTATTGCAGAAGATGAGATCGAGGCAGTTGTTTAGTCTAGTGTTGTTGGTTACTAGTTGTTCCAGTCCCAGATTTGTAATAGCATTGTAGAAGGTTGTGTGTATGATTTCAGTTGTACAATCATTTAGGGTCCAGTCAATATGAGGTAGATTGAAATCACCAAGAAAGATAAAAGGGTATGGGCAGGATGCAGCCCATGTTAGTAATGTATTTAGCTTGTTTACATGTTCGATGTCATAATCAGGTGCTCTGTAACATAGTAAGAATCGAATTGTGACATTTAAGGATAGTTCACAGATGATGGTCTCAGGAAGAGCAAGCTCCTGGGTAACTTGGATATTTTTTAGATGTAAGGACTTTTTATAGAAGATAGCAACACCACCTCCTCTACGAATTTCACGATCTGATCGGTAAACATGATAGTCTCTTACTGTGGTAATGGAGTCAGGGAGAGATGCATTGAGCCATGTTTCACAGACAAATATAATGTCGAATTTAGCCATATTTAGTAGGAGGAAAATTCAGGTATTTTATTCACGAGGCTTCTTGCATTGAGTAGTTTGCATTTAAGGCCAGCAGTAGTTGGAATTGAGGTAGTTAGGGGCGTGCATGCCTAGTCTTGGGTGATGGTGGATCGGTTGAGGTAGGGTTGTGGTTGAGGGTTAAAGCTGAGTTGCGGGTAGTGTGGCTTACTTTTGATACAGTCAGCATGGTAGTCAATGTACAGGTCCTTCTCTCCATTGTCTAGACGTTTTTTGAGTTCAGTGCGGAGTACACGGGAGCGGGCACGTTGCTGTATGGTTAGGTCAGGGCGACAACGGAGGTTCTTATGGTTGGTGTTGGTTTTGGCGAGTGAATTTATAGTGTAAATGAATTTACGTTTGCTTGATTCATTTTTGCAAATGACCCTGCACAAGCATGGGGCCACAGAGCCGTCTCTGTTTTTGAGCTCTCGGCCAATGCGGGAAATGTCAAGTATTTCATCAGCGGAGATGGTTGATGCTTGATAATCACTGATGATGTTTCGGACAGTTGTGATGTCATCATTGTCATTGATGTCCTCTAGACCAAATAAGATGGCGTTTGGACGTTTCCGTTCACGCTCAACAGCTTCTCTGATGAGGATTGGGATATCAATATTTGTCTGGGTTGTGTTTTTTTGTGGATTGGGTTTTGGATTGGGTTGTGGTTGATGGGTAGAGATGTGGTTTGTAGCTATTGGATGTTCAGGTTTTTGCGTTGTGTCTTTTTTTTCAAGGTTGGATATTCTTTCTCTTACGGCGTCCAGGGATGCTACTATGGTGTTAAGGGATGTTTCAATGGTTTCAATGGTATCAACTCTTTCCAACAGATCCATTTAGATCAATTTAGAGAGGTGACCTAAGTTTTGCTTTTCTCTCCTTCCTATGCAGTCAAGATCATCTTCCTGTTGTGCTCATCCGACGCCGTGAAACCAAATGGTTGGAAATGACAGCTCACTGGGAGAAAACCATGGCCCGGCGCTACAGGAAGGTAAGAAGGTATCTAGCATTGTTTCTTTAAATGGGTGATTTCATCACATTTTTTCATCAAAGTCTTCAGTGAACCCTATCATAATTTCAAATTATGTTCAAAAAGTAATGTGCATTTGACATATTAAATGACAGTTAACCATGATTTATTGAATAAATAGCAAATGGTTAACTTCATAGAACAAAGTCTAGACCAAATACAGTACATTATACTGTGAGATGGAATAATATCTGAAACTTATCAGAAACTTTCTCTTATCTCTCTTTTGTACATACCAACCCCAAACAGAAACAGTCCAAATAGAACAATATAGATAGAAAGAGTTCCAAGATCAGAGGTGGTATTCAGCAACTTCTGACCAGTTCTAGAGAACCAGTAACAGAAATTTTGAGTAGTTCGGAGAACCGGCAAATACCACCTCTGACTGCCCCTGCCCCCAATCTATTCTCTGCCTCTCAAGTCCCAGCTGATCAGTTGGGTCTTCCTTTGTTGCCCTGCACAGGAGAACGGAGCTGGAAAGCAGGTTAGTGGGGTAGGGAGGGAATGGGATTTTGCAGTAACCTTCCCCCAGGAATGGGGTGGGAATGGAGATTTTACAATAAGCTTCTCCTGGAGGGAATGGGAATGGAGATTTTGCAGTATCCATCCCCTGCCATGCCCACCAAGCCACACCCACCAAGCCATGCCACATCCACCAAACCACACCCAGTAAAAAAATTGAATCCCACCACTGTCCAAGATGCTAAGTTTTTGTAACCAATGGTTGCAGTTTCCTTGAAATATTAATATTAGAGCTTTCATTGCAATTAATATTTGCAAATCCACTGCAGCATAAATGGATATTAAATTAAAGAACTTACATTAAAAACCCAGGAAAAAAATGAAAAGATATTTGCATGAAGCCAAAAGGACAGAAGTTACGACGATCTTTCTAACAAATAGATTCTAAAATTGAGAAATCTTCCTGCATCAACCTTATCTCAGATAGGCATGAATTACTCCAAGTTTGTTTTCCAAAGGCAAGCTTAGCCTATGAGCAAGTTCACATGAAAGATGAGTAATCCTTTTTGGCACCAAAGACCCTTTAACATTATGAGGCTGTTGAATTCTTCATATATTAATTGGATCGTGAAACTTGGCATTTGCTTTTAATTCTTTTTAATTTCATCTTAATTTTTTGGATTGTCTTTATACTGTTTAATATTGTGATCCTAAAATCCATACAAGGATCCAAACCTTTCATCAAGCCTATCTAAGTTTACAAAACACCTTTGAGATTAACCTACTAAAGATATTGCCCTAATATAATTCCTGGAACTTTTTGTGTGACCAACATGGCTTGGTATCTTCTATGTTTTCTTGGGAAACAATTGGGGGGGGGACTATTTACAGCAATAAAACTCTAAAGGCAAACAGAGCGAGAGGGAGTGAGGGAGGGAAAGGGAAGAGGTATATAGGTAAGTATATGGATGATTGAGAATAAGTTATGTTCACTTATGGAAGCCACAATTTACTAAGATGAAAATACTAACAGCAGACTGCCATAAAGCTATTTTTTTATACCAATAGGTACATTGTTCTCTATATATTGTTGGCTGCAATCCCACTATCTTTAATCGCTGGCCATTCTGGCTACAGCAGGGAACAGTTCAGCAACATCCAGTGGACCATTCATATGCTACCACTCCATGCTGTAGTATGAAGCCAACCAGAAAAGGCTACATTGGTGATAAGCATGCCAATGATACCCTCATCTTGTGAGTGCTGAGCTCCAGCTTCCCATTCAATCCATTATTGGTTCCACACATCAGTTTAGTCTTTGTAAGGTTGCCTCAACTGAAACAGCTAAAGAAGAAATAGAATTAGAGTTTCTGATGATGGCCCATCACTGTTTAAATTTCCCTGGCAATCACCACAGTTTTAGCTAGATGTTTTTAAAAAATAGAGAAAAAGCTGAGTCTTTCCTGGTGTCTGTAGCTCAAACCTTGGCTAGCTATACGGACAAAGGGTATTGGGATTCTTTATGGGATTGGGTTCTATACAGGATCATTATGTACTTTGTTTATATGGTTTATAACAATTCAGATAAAGCTGCTGTGCCGAAAAGGAATCCCTTCCTCTTTACGTGCACGTTGTTGGCCTCTGTTGTGTGGAGGACAAGCCAAAATGGAGAGGAGCCCTGGAAAGTACCAGGTAAGCTTGTGTCTTATTCTAGCCTTTGAGGCACAAGATATTCTACGTGTGTTAAAAGAAATGTTTAGAAATGTTCTATTATCACATCAGCCAACAGGACAACCACCCCTTCTGCTATTGCACTTATCCTTTTTATCTGTGCCTTTATATTAATTAATTAGCAAACTAACCACACATTCTTCTTTACTTATATCTCCTTTTCTGTTGATTATTTGAATATTTACATTAAGACTTGAGGCCTGCTTCGTATAGTACAGCATCTCTAACAAAGGTATGGCAAGAGCATTTCTTTAAATTGAGGAATACTTTGAAACGCAATCCTATGGACACTTAAGAGGGAGTAAGTCTATTGGACTTACTTCCATGTTATTGGTTGATATTCATTTGTAATATCTATTAACTTAAAAATATTGTGCTTTCAGCAAAAAATGTTTTCAAGGCAACAATATGCAATTAAAAGAATTGAAATGTATGCAGAATAATATAATTACAAAACCAAAAAACCTTAAGCAAATACAGAATGGTACAAGTAAACCAAAGTAGTTGAAATCTATTTAGACTATGTGCCATTAAGTTGGTTACAAATCTTAGTAGTATCACAGACAGACCTTCTCCAAGTTGATCTCTCCCACCCCAGCCCTTTATGTGTTTTTGCATTATAATATAAACCTATTGCCTTTATAGTCAAATCCATCCATTTTGTTTCTAATCATTTTCTGCTTCTCTTTCCTTCCATCTCTCTTAATATTATGGATTTCTCAAGGTAACTCTGACTATGTACAATGTGTCCAAAATGTGACAAATTGAGCCTGATCTTGAGTGAAAGCTCTGGATTGTTTGATGAGCCATTTGTTTATTTTCTTCGTTATCCATGACATTCTCAAGAATTCTAAAACACTAACTTGCTTCTTCAAAAATCAATTTTCACTTCCACAGGGTACCACATGGAAAACTATTGTCTGCATAGTTTCTGATCTTTATGGCCATAGATATATGACATCTGAACATTCATTTGTACTCTACCAAGAGGTAGTATTTCTTGCTGGTTTCTTTTTGTTCAGTAACTGATCCTAACAGGCAAAAGTTATCCACTACTGCAGTGTCATTTCTAAAGCTGGTCACTGAACATGTTATTCCTGTATTGATTTGGTCTTTTTTATATTTAATAATAGGCCTATTTTTTCCCACCGTGCTCCTGGCCACATATTTGCCCTACCGTGTAACTGAGCACTTGCATCTCCTTGTACCAATAATATAATCAGTTTTATTTCTGTGCCCTTCATCTGGTAATTATAGACATCATTTGTGAAGACTGTGTTCGCAATAAAGGAGTCACTGGATTGATAGAAACTAATAAATAATTCTCCTGCATCATTTCTGCTTCTGTAGGGCATACAGTTCAAGTTCATTTTCCTCCTTACTATTTTCAGTTGTAGTATTCCAGTCTCCAACCATGTCTGGCTAGCATGATTTTCAATTTTAGATTGAAACTGACCATAAAACCCATCAGCTTCTTCATCAAATGTTAAGATTTGGAGGATAAAGTTGGATAACTGTTATTTTAAAGAGTTGCCCGTTGCTTTTATTGATATTGATATTATTTGGTTACAATTAGCTGATGCAGAAGATGTCAACATGTGCAGTCCATTTTGACTTTCATTTTTCTGTTTTCATGCTTTTTACATTCCGTGTTGCAAAGTACAATAATTCTGTCTTTCAGCTTTTGATTTTTGTTTCCTGCATGTCAACATCAGCAACTAGATGTCTGGAAGGATTTAATTTAGCCAGATGATATCGTAAGCACTATTAATAAAGTAACATGCTGAAAGTAGCATGTTGAGTGCCTGAAGACCACATCATCTACCACTATATTATTAATAACTTTATTGTGTTTATCTGTCTTTAACAACATATAAAGATGTGGGGTATTGTTGGGAAGGTAAAGGTTTCCCTCGCACATATGTGCTAGTTGTTTCCAACTCTAGGGGCTGGTGTAACAGTTGTCATCTCTGTTACAAAGCCGAAGAGCCAGCGCTATCCGAAGACATCTCCGTGGTCATGTGGCTGGCATAACTAAATGCTGAAGGTGCACGGAACGTTACCTTCCCACCAAAGTAGTCCCTATTTTTCTACTTGCATTTTTACATGCTTTCGAACTGCTAGGTTGGCAGAAGCTGGGACAAGTAACTGGAGCTCACTCCATTACGCAATGCTAGGGATTCGAACCACCGAACTGCTGACCTTTCTGATTGACAAGCTCAGCGTCTTAGCCATTGAGCCATCGCATTCCTGTCATTTTTGTATTCCTGTTGAGAAAGAGTTGGGCAAATATGGGCCCATCACTGACAGAGGTCTGGTTGCTATTGCAGGAATTGCTTGAGGTACCTGGTGATCCTCAATGGGTGGAGACTATCACAAAAGACATTCACCGCCAATTCCCCTTCCATGAGATGTTCCTGTCTCCTGAAGGTCCTGGGTGAGTGGATAGAGTATGCAGAATGAAATTTTTGAATAGATTATTACAGATTAAAATACACAGAGTAGTTGTCTGAATAAATTTTCAATCCATCATATTTGTTTTAGAGAAAATAAATAATATTTAACTAAAATATATAAATGCTTCATATTCTATCTCTTTTTATTTTTTCTTAATTTGTGCCCAATATTTTTGTTGATTAAAAAAAATCAAAACTCCATATCTAAATTGTAACATGCTTATGGGTTGCTCTGTATGTTGCATAATAGCATTAGATCCATAAATAGTTTTTTTTTTTGAGAGTTACAAGGCTTCCTCCTTCACTCAATTTTAACTTTAATTTTTTAGAAATTAAAAGGAAGTTAGCCTGTTGCAGAACAAAGGACTAGCTTCTCTAGATCCCAATGGCATTTGTAGAAAATAAAAGCAATGAGTAATGGGCTACTGCTTTGCTTGAAAAGATACCCACATGACCAGGAAAAAGACCAAAAGAAGCCAGAATTAAGAAAACCCAAGGAAGGCTAAAGAGATGATGAGAGCAACCTCACCAATTTCCCATGAAGAATATCATATTATGGCACTCATTTGGTGAAAATTCAAACTCTGCCATGCTCATCTTATAATAGTGCACAATGCATGCTCTAAAAATCATATATGGTCACTGCCTTCTAAAGTGTACCTAACTCTGTCTGGGAAGGGAAGGGATTGTGGATTGATACAAGAAAGACTTCATTCCTCGAATATTTTCAGATAGAGGCTAGATAATAATCTGCCAGGGGTGCTTTTAGTTAGATAATTGTTTGATGACTGAAATGGACTTTCGATAACTCTGTCCCTATAACCCTTTATCACATCTTCTGAAAAACTATGGCAGCATGGCTAAAGAATAGTGATCCCAGCTCTGAGTTTCTGTGTGTATAAGGCTTAATGGGTTATACAAACTTTGTGTGGCTAATGGTTCAACATGTTGTGTGACCGTAGAAAATGAATTAACTCAGTAACCACACTCGGCATGTTACATGATACAGGCTATAATTCTTTATATTTTGTATAACTGATTCCATTTCCAACTCTAACTTGGCTAACCCCAAATTTTCCAGATGCATTAGGGTACTATTTGAATCATCCCAGCCAGTTGCTTTGAACCCAGTTTATCTATGGAATGTGGACAATCCTACCATATATGTAGACTGGTCACTTGCCCCATGGTAGAGTGTTGGGGAATGGAAAGCCCACTTACAAATTCTAAGACTGAGCAACAGGTTGAATCCCACTGGCCAAGGCACGGCACAGGATTCTACCTAAAAGCAGAATAACAAAGCTGAGCTGGAGTGCTCTTACTGGGTTGGATTTGGTGAACCCAAGGCAAGGATGTGACCATGGCTTCCTCAAGCCTTCTGTGATCTCTATTCCGTTATAGACAGCAAGGGCTGTTGCAGCTGCTGAAAGCCTACACTGTGTATCGGCCCCAAGAAGGTTATTGTCAAGCTCAAGGACCAGTGGGTGCCCTGCTTCTCATGCACATGCCACCAGAGGTGAGTCTCAAGCAAAGGCCTTCACCCTTACAGTTATCATTACGGTTGTTGGATTGACTGACTGATCTAACAAAATATATGAGCCATTCCTGGCTAGGATGTAAGTCCATATAACATTAAAATACTTCCAAAATAGAAATTGGATGGGGTTGAACCCAATTTCCAAAGCTCCTGAGAAACCAAATTGCTTCCACTGCCCTTCAGCAAGTCAAAACATAAAGGACACGGATGTCTGCATGTGGGGTCAAAAAAGTCAACATGGCAGTGGTGTCAAAATGCAGCTAGTCCAGATGATACAGCTGTAGATGAGTCCGTCTTTATATGCATTGCCATAAATAAAAAATAGGCAGAAATGTGACTGCATCGTCGTGACCTCCTGACGGCATCCTGACATTTTTTTTAATGTACCCTTTGAAGTTTTCTGAGAGGAACCAAGTTGTATCCCTCTGATTTCCCAAACCCTCTCTAGAATTCTAGACAAGATGGGCAGGGTCGGATTTTCATCCATTTTATTTTTCCTACATCATAGTTATTCCATGCTAAATCTCTATCGGCTGCTACTGTTTGTCTTCTCTGATGGCTGCCTGTTTATTTTTTTCCAGCAAGCATTCTGGTGCCTGGTACAGATCTGCGACCACTATCTGCCTGGTTACTACAGCCCCCAAATGGTGAGAGGTTTAGGAAAGAAGGGATATCCACCTGTGGGGGTGGGAATCAACAAACTGGAATGGGACAGCAGTTCTTAAGGCCTTTCTTTGGGGTTGAATTAAAGTTCTCCCCACCAATTTTTAATATTTTATTTATTTATTTATTTTAGTTTCTCAAGCATGTATGAGAAAAACAAGTATAAGTATGAACATGACATATAAACATATAAGTATAAACAGGTATAAGTATATACATAATGAATGAGTATGAATAAATGGGAACAGTAAGACAGGGATGGCAGGCATGCTGGTGTGCTTATGTATGCCCCCTTACAGACCTCTTAGGAATGGAGTGAGGTCCACGGCAGACAGTTTAAGGTTAAAGTTAATAGCAGAAGCTATACTGAGATATTTTGTTCTGTCCCCACTGCTAATGCTTATCCTTCTTCCACAGCCTCTATTCCAGCTTGCTGCCAAATGGTGCTATTCTCTTAATCAAAACTATCTGTAGGGTTTGGAAAACTAAGCCATGGGTTTAGCCCTCTGGCTTTGGTACCCACCTTTCCTTCTCAACAATACCAGCAGCCAGGAAAACAGTGATGGGACAGGAGTGAGGGTTTGACATTGGGTGCCTGCTGGCTTGTGCTGGTTTATCACATGCAAATCAGCCTTTAACAATCTGGCCCTTCAACTCTTCCTGAGAAGAATCAATTTAGCTTCTTATGATGTTTTCCATAAGGTTCCAGGATGAAGGTTGCCAGAGAAAATGGTTTGTTACGTTCCTTTGTTGAAAGCAACATCCTAGCTGATTTAGGCAGAATGTTCTCCAGCTGGAGATGATATTAATTACCACTGATTGGGGAGAGGAATGGAACCCCTAATATATCCCCCCGCTTTCAATCTCTCTCTGGTTTTAATTAAGCAAAACAGGCATGTAATTAGAAGACTTTTAGAAGTATGGGACTTTGAAAAAGCAGCTCTTTCCAGATCTGGCATTTCAACAAGCCTGCTGATCAGCTGCTCGCATCTCGTTCCCCATGGGAAGAGGGGGACAAGGAAGTGGAAGAGAGTGCCTAGGGATCCGGGGGGGTGGGGGGCAAAATAGGGCTGCATTTTTTATTTTGATTTTGAGCCTTTAAATAGATAGATTAAAGGCAAAAGTTCAGGTGATACAACTTCATATTTGACTCACATAAAAGAAGATTCACGCATGAAATTAAAACCTAAGGCTCAAGAATTGTGCCAGGTGAGGATGGCAAGCAAGACTGTAGTGCAGGGGTCTCCAAACCTGGCAACTTTAAGATTTGTGGACTTTAACTCCTGGAGTTCCCCAGGCAAGTTGGCCAAGAAACTCTGCGAGTTGAAATCTACAAGTCTCAAAGCTGCTAAATTTGGAGATCCCCTACTGTAGTGGATGGATGAAACTGTAGGCTGGAAGGCTGGAAGTCTCATATCTTCCCTCCTGGAAGTGCTTTGTGTCTTCATACCCTTGGCTTTCACACTCTTGTCTATTCTATTCTGAAATAAGGGCTTAGTAGCTCCTACTGCCACTATACTATCTTCCAGGGGCCATTTCATGAATTATTCTTCTCTTAATACTTCCCATAACCTTAATTGGGCTTTCACAACCTGTGTGTCCCTTTCTGATTATTGAAAGATCAAAATTCAAAAAGGGAAATAATTTCCATAATGCCACTTCCTGACTGTAGCATAGAGGCAAGTGACTTGACGAGTCAGCCATTGCTTGGTAAATAGACCATTTTCAGAAGACATAAAGGAAATTTATTTGAAATAAAATCTTCATTTTTAGATATTAAAAGGAAAATTGTGTTGAATGACCACTATTTAAAGCCTGATTTCACAGCTGCCAAAAGGAAGTGACAAATGAAAATGCAGCGCTCAAGTCAGATCATAAGATGTCACTGGTCTGCTACACTGGTTTATGTTGCAACATAACATTACAGAGGCAAGAAGATTCCAATTAAAATTTCCATGCCCATCCAGAAGGATCCATGCAGGTTGAAGTTTAAACATCATATTCTATCATTTATAGAAGAACAAAGAAAAAATAATTCCGTGTTTTAATACCCAGCTTGTATCCACACTGACATAATTTTTAACGATTGTAAACAAATAGTTATAAATTGAGGACAGGCAAGGGTATGAAAGTGAGAGTAACAGAAAAGTATTTCATTAAATGATGTCACTGCATCTTTTTCCTGCAGGAGGCGCTGGTGCTAGACAGTGAAATTTTTACTGCGCTCCTCCATCGAGTGTGTCCGAAGGCCTTTAAGCACTTGCAGAAACATGGGGTGGGCCCTTTGATGTACATGCCCGAGTGGTTCCTGTGCCTCTTTGCCCGCACGCTGCCCTTCCCCACAGTGTTGAGAGTCTGGGATGCCTTCCTGAGTGAAGGTGAGTGAGGGCAATGAGCACTTGGGGATCTGTAAGTCTGAACTGAGACAAGAAGCAGAATCATATTGCAAAACTTTGCAAGGCAGCAACTGGTGGTATGAGGCAGTGGTAGGATTCAAAAAATGTTAATACCGATTCTGTGGGTGTGGCTTGGTGGGCGTGACAGGGGAAGGTTACTGCAAAATCCCATTCCCTCCCCACTCCACTAACCTGCTTTCCAGCTCCATTCTCCTGTGCAGGGCAACATAAGAAGACCCAACCAATCAGCTGGGACTCGGGAGGCAGAGAATAGATGCGGGCGGGGCCAGTCAGAGGTGGTATTTGCTGGTTCTCTGAACTACTCAAAATTTCCGCTATTGGTTCTCCAGAACTGGTCAGAACCTGCTGAATACCACCTCTGGTATGAGATGATTGGGAGAATGAATTGCTAGAGTCTAACTCTATTGACATAGGATGCTAAATTGGAAAACAAAGGCAGGAGAGTCAGAACAACCTTTCTTTTGGGAAGAGGTATCTTCTATGGATAAAGAGATTAAAATCTTTCTGAAATAAATTTAAGAAGAAATAGGATATTGGATGGAGAAGGACAGGGACGGTCATGATTTGGAACCAAGATGGACAACATTATGATGGACTCACACTTAATTTTTTTTTGTAAAAGCAAAGTAGAGAAGCTGCTCAGTAAGCAGAGCTTTGCTCTTTGTGTTTTCACAGAAACAGGACATTCTGGTTTTTTTACATTTTGGAATGGAGTTATTCTAAAATCACTAAGCCAGATCACATCTGATAATTATTTAGATGAAGAACTATTCAGGAATCCCAGGGCTGTAAAACAGATAAAATGGGCAGTTGAAAAAACATTCAGGAAAAAGATACTAGCATATTGTTAGATATGCCCTATACTAATTGCCAAGAAAAGCTCATGGACAAGCCCAAGAAATCACCAAAAATCCAACGTTATGTAAGGAGGTTTTTTGGGGAGTTTTTTCCTCATTTTTATGTTATTTTAGGGCTTCTGCTGCATTTTTTAAGTGTTTCCACTTCAAAATGATGGAAAATGTATGCTGATTTTCAGGAGCTACGGTTGAAGGACATACACTTGAGATCCTGAAAAATATATTTTATTTGTTTAATTTGATTTGTCAATTGCTTACAAGATAATAAGAATAGGTATATACATAGTTATGAATACATGAAATGGGTACATATAAGAAAAATAAAAGAAACAATAGGACAGGGACGGTAGGCACGTTGGTGTGCTTATGCACGCCCCCTACAGACCTCTTAGGAAAGGTGTGCGGTCAATTGTAGAAAGTCTAAAGTTAAAGTTTTTGGGGTTTGGGGAAGAAACCACAGAGTCAGGTAGAGTATTCCAGACATTGACCACTCTGTTGCTGAAATCGTATTTCCTGCTATCAAGTTTGGTGCAGTTAACCTTGAGTTTGTATCTATTGTGTGCTCTTGTGTTGTTATGGTTGAAGCTGAAGTATTCATTGACAGGTAAGTCGTTGCAATGTATGATTTTATATACCATTCTTAGATCAGAACCAAAGACAGCGTAATTCAAGGTTTTCTAGGTCTAGAATTCAAGTCTGGTGGCATAAGGTATTCTACAATGAGTGGGGGAGTGGAGAACTCTTCTTGTGAAATATTTCTGGACTTTCTCAATTGTGCTAATATCAGATACGTAATGTGGGTTCCAGACTGATGAGCTGTATTCGAGTATTGGTCTAGCAAATGTTTTGTATGCTCTCGTTAGTAGTGTGATATTACCAGAGAAAAAGCTACATAGGATTAGGTTAACAACTCTTAATGCCTTTTTGGCTATGTAGTTACAGTGGGCTCTAGCACTTAGATCATTAGAGATGCGTATTCCAAGGTTCTTGACAGAGCTTCGATCATCAACAAGGCCTTGACTATTCAGCTTGTATTTTATTTTCTGATTTTTTTTGCCAATATGTAAGATAGAGCATTTATTTGTTGAGATTTGAAGTTGCCATTTGTTTGACCATTCTGATACATAGTCAAGATCTTTTTGAAGGGTAGCAGTATTGTCTGTGGTATTGAACAGCTTTACATCATCAGCAAAAAGAATGCAGATGCTCTTAATATGATCACAGAGGTCATTTATGTAGAGTATGAAGAGAGTTGGTCCTAGAACACTGCCTTGGGGGACACCTCTATTGACAGGTACAGAATTTGATAGGACACTCCCAATTTTGACCATTTGTTGTCTGTTTGACAGGAATGCTTCTATCCAGTTATGCAGGTGTCCAGAGATACCATAAGATTTTAGTTTTAGGAGTAGTTTGTCGTGTACCACTGAATCAAAGGCTTTACAGAAGTCTATGTAGATTGCGTCTATTGTTTTGAATTGATCGAGTTGTGTAGTCCATATGTTTTTGCAGTGTAAGAGTTGCAGATTACAGGACAGTTTTTTTCTGAAACCAAATTGTTTATTAGAGAGTAGGTTGTTTGTCTCTAAGTGGAGGATAATGGATTGATTAATAATTGATTCCATGACTTTACAGGTGACGCAGCATAAGGAGATTGGTCTGTAATTTTCAACTAGGCTGGGGTCTCCCTTTTTGAAGATGGGGATGACCATGGCTTGTGACCATAGGTTAGGCAAGGAGCTGGTCCTGAAAGATTTTTCACAGATTATGCTTAGAGGTTCTGCTATGGCAGTGGATAGCTTTTTAAAGAAGTAGGCACATATTCCGTCCGGTCCAATAGATAGAGATGGTTTTAGATTGCGTAGTGCTTTTTC